TCCCATTATCTTCCAATTGAATAATGATTCAACATACTTGGAAAATAGTAACCCGAGTATATTCAAATATGTTCCCATTTGGTTGATGAAATCCATGGTCACCTTGGTCCACGGGACGGGACCCTGGAACATCCTGGGACCACGACCCATTGCGCCGCCAGCTCTGGCTTGGCGGGCGCTTGCAAGGGCGATACCGGCGCCTCAGAAATGGCCCTTTTTCATCCATGGAATCATCAAGAATGGCAGGTGAAGCATCAAACATGGTATGGAGGATATGACCAAATAGTGGTGGATTCACCAAGGGGCAAACAGAGACCTTCAGCCAAGCAGCTCCGACAACACCGGGACAACGGATGTTGATCACCGGTGGGGTGGCTTAAATTCCTGATGTGTGTATGACAAACTCCAGTTCAAGTGTCTGAGTATCCCGACATATTGTGTATTGTTGTTGGGTAACCTCCACATTTGGTGCTTCTCTATTAACCACATTGTCAATTGTAGAACATAGATGTAGATACCCAATGGTATCCCACTGGTATCCCTATGAAATACCATCTGGTTATGACTAACAGTTCGCCATGGAAAATCCACCTATTTTTAAGAACGGTAAACCATCTATTTCTATGGGTCATCTATACATATCTATACCATGGCGGCTATGTTAGTCATAACCAGATGACCTATAGAAATACCCATAGAAATTTCCATAGAAATCTAAACCATCTAATTCCTCAGTTAATGGGTAAATCATCTAACCAGAGGGTAACTCTTGAAATACCTCTCAACTGAGACAGTCATGTTGGTCGCCCTCTGGGCAGCCCCACAGCCACCGAGGCGAAACTAAAGTGACTCCATCTCCTCGCGTTCGAACACGGAGGAGCGCCATCCAACAAAGGAAACCCAGCAGAAATGGTGGTTTAACCAATGGTGAAACCAAAATTCTGATTCAATCTATTCAACCAACAAAATTTGTGATTTAAGTAAAATTTGGATAGAACCAATGATATCCAATGATGGGGATATTTAATGCGGGCTACCCTGGGTAAAATCACTAGGGTGACCCCCCAAAATAATTTTTCAGAATTATTCTGAGGTGCTTCAGTACATAACCCACTACAAAATATTTTTTCCAAAACACTCTAACCATCCCAAAATAATATCCTTTATCACTACCCACCTCCTCAAAATAATTTCTGAAAATTTGCAAATAAATTATTTTGTAGGGTTCTACTATTACTCAAAACCACTTCCCTTAGTTCAAAATAATTTTGGAAATTATTTCAAGGTGGTTTAAGATGGTTTTGGATGATTGAAAAAACAAGTAGAACCACCTCAAAATAATTAGAAAAAATCCCCACAAAATTATTTTGGGGGGTCACCCTACCTATCCTCCCGAATGCACCCGACAAGCATTGTCGGAATTTCATGATTTAGACCATCGATTTTTGGACAAAGAAATCTGAATCGACCCCTTCCTACCCCATAAACTATTTTGGGGGTGGTTAACTACTAAACCACCCCAGAAATAATAATAGCCTAAACTGGCAAAATTAACTTCCCATTGAGTAGTTCAAAATCCAAATTGCCTCGAACAGACAAACCCTGAGATTTACCATGAATTACTTGCTGAACTAATTATTTTTTAGAACATCGACTTAGCATCGGCTTTTGGGCAAAGAAACCTGAATCGATTCCTCTCTCCCCAAAAATTATTTTGGGGGTGGTTAACTACTAGACCACCCCAGAAATCCAAAATAACCTAAGCTTGCAAAACTCAACTTCCCTGGAATAGGTCAAAAATGCCAAACCTGATCCAAATTGACCCAAACTGTCTGAAAGAATCAAACCATGAGAACCTAATTATTTTGGGGGTGGTTAACTACTAAACCACCTATGATTTAGACCATCGATTTTTGGACAAAGAAATCTGAATCGACCCCTTCCTACCTCATAAATTATTTTGGGGGTGGTTAACTACTAAACCACCCCAGAAATAATAATAGCCTAAACTGGCAAAATTAACTTCCCATTGAGTAGTTCAAAATCCAAATTGCCTCGAACAGACAAACCCTGAGATTTACCATGAATTACTGGCTGAACTAATTATTTTTTACCAGGAAATGGCTGCAGATTGATTCAAAGAAGATCCTGACTGAACATGTTGAAATATGTAGTTGAAATTTGATGTAATATGCTGAAATTATTTTGCAGGTGGTTTGCAAGTACCCCCACCCCATGAAATAATTTTCATCATGGGTGTCTGGTAATTATTTTATACAGTTGGAACTATATGAAATAATTTCCCCAGTTCAACTGAGAAATTATTTTGAGGTGCCTTAAGTTGTTTGTTTAAAATTATTTCAAGGTGCTTCAACCTCTGTAGGTGGAAAATTATTTTGCACCATCATCAAGGTACGGGTGCAAAAATTATTTTGCTATGGCTCTTGTCGGGTGATTTTAACATAAAATTTATGTTAAAAATGGAAATTATTTAAAAAAAAAAATATTTTGGAACCAACCCCCACCTCAAAATAATTTCCTAAGGTAGGACGCATGATATTTACATATATATATATATAATATATATATATATATATATATATTATTATACATATATATATATATGATATTGTATTGTATTGTATTATATTATATTATATTATATTATATATTATATTATATTATATTATACTATATTATATTATATTATATCATATTATATATTGCGATATATTGTATATTATATTATATTAAATTATATCAAATTATATTATATTTTATTTTATTATATTATATTATATATTATATTATATTATATATTATAATTTAATATATATATATGGGTTACTTCATTTTATGGTTATAAGCCACTTGCATCCACGGGGAACGGGGAAGCACATTCTACAGGCATACAGTTCAGGGGACATCTTCCAGGCCCACGCGGTTCAAACATTTAGTTGGGACAATTTACAGGATTTATTCAATTCATTCCCCACATTTGGAGGTTTCGTAAGTCAAGGGGGAACCCCCAAATCATCCAAGTCAGACCAAACTATATCCTAGACCTTCCTTTGGTACAGAAAAACGTGTACCACTTTATTTCTGCTCGTTTCATTTTTTTCTGCTCGTTTGCTGGGGCCAAAAAAAAAGTGCTCGAGATTTTTCTGTGCCAAGGAAGGTCTAGTATAAACATGGTCATATACGGTCATATGATATCAATAATGGCTTATAACAGACATGCATGTCCAAGAACCTCTGATATATGGTTGATTCCATGCCTTTCTATGGGGATGCACGATGAATCGATAATTTAGTCCTAGCAGGCATGGGCAAGCATATGTACAAGTTGATCATCACCACTGCACGCATGTTTTTTTCACTCTTCTTTTGCCATGTTTTTCCTGCCATTTTCGGCGGTAGTGCATCAATGCTCGCCGCATTGTGCGAATGCAAATCAAGAATGGATGACAGCGCCGGGACATCCGGGCCACCTAGGTTACCCCAAAAATGGCACGACATGCATGCTCTGGCACTAGCAGGATGTTTGTAAGTTCCCGGCATGGCCTATAAAGGCCTCATCCACCCATGTGGCCAAGCCTGATGTTGCAAGACATCAGGCTACATGAATGGTGTCCATGCTTCGTTCTTGGCAAATTGCCTACCAAGCAACACATAGGTGACATCACCATATCAGCCCCCCGGTCAATTTGATCTTGCATCCACATCCTGGCAGACTCTAGGCAAAATCATCTTCAGCGACTTAGTCACACATAGACAACATAATCGTATTCCAAGCTCATGCATGCAATAATGCGAACAAGTCACCCAATTTCCTCCTGGGCGTGAAGCTTGGGCTTCCTCTTGAACAATTCCCAGCCTCTGGCCATGCTCCAGGCTGTAAGGGCGATGTACCCTTCCTTGAAGGCCAACATATCACATGCACATAGATGGGGGCAATCACTCAAGACCAAAGGCATCCATGCATAGACAAGAGTCAACTATGTAATGGCAACGCAACACCAACCCACGCGCTTCAGTGACTGGGATCCATCTCCGGCCCTTCACATTGATTGCCCGAAAATAGACATCCACTGAACCCATCACCCACCGAAGCAAAGCCAATGCTTCAGTCGACACTACCTCAGCTTATCCAAGCACAAAAGGTTGCCTTCAAGGGAGTGGTCAACCCGGTATGAGCCCATTGCTCCAAGATACTCTGTCCATGTCCGGATTAGTGAAAACCACATGATGTAGCCATCTGCAAAGCGCTGTTGTGTCATAGCCCTTACCTCCAAAACGCGGCCAATCCCCTAGCCTCAGTCACTAAAGGTGCTGTTCGCCAGACTTGAAAATCAAATTCTGGAAGAAGCTGTGCCATGCATGTCCTCCCATGAATGCTTCGCCATGCATGTCATTCCATGATTGCTTTTTCATGCATATCATTCTTTGAGTGCTGTCCCATGAATGTCATTCCATTGGGTGCTATCCCATGCATGTCTTGCTAAATTTAATATATATAGACTATATTATATCTCTCTCTCTCACACATGCATGCCACGTCATGAATGCTTTCTCATGCATGTCCCCATATCCCATCTATGCTGCTCTATCTATGCATGTCTTTCTATGAATGCCTTACCATGCATGCTTCCAAGCAGCGACTGGCACTTGAAAGACTTTTTCAAATCAAACTCTGTGATGCTGCTTGAGATTCGCATTCTCCGTCGCCATGCGTCAAAATCAGCAAACGCAGCCTCCAAGCGGTCAGGGATGTTGTTGCCATCCCAGAGATTGAATCTGCAAGCCAGCAATACCTGGCTGGATCACAGCATGTGCAACATGTAGCTTTGCACATGCCAGACAGCTGCGGCGCAAAAACATGAAAACAAAACATGCTTGCCCAAGTGCAATGATTGACGCACATAGTTCCTGCCCCAATCCCAAATGCCACGTGTGGGCTTGGTCGGGGCAAACCAATGGCCCACAACCAGGCACCGAGCTCATAGCAGATCGCCGGTAAGTTGGGTCAGCTCCTGGTCTGTTTGCACGCCATCGTGCTTGTGCATCGGCCCTCCACCATTCCTGCAGTTCAAAGGGGTTGGACATGCATGGTGTATAGCTATTGACAACATGCAGTGCACATGAATTCAGCCTGCCTCACCACTGCATAAGTGGCATACCCGGGCCGATGTGAACCCTGTGAACAACAGGTGGCATTTTCCTCAATGCTTGCGCCCATGGCAAAAGCAGGCAAACAGCATTTTTTTTGTGAATGCATCTAGGGGAAAGACGTTGCCATGGCCAGTCTCCACGAACACCGACCATCCCGACAAACATTGTCTTCTTGGAACCGTCTTTTTTTTCAACCTCATGCAACCAAGCATGCATGTATATACATATATTGACCAAAGCCATATAAAGCAGGTTGAGGCTAGCACTTCCCAGCCATGTTCGAGAAGCTCGTTCAAATCTCTTGCCACTGCAGCATGGAGTGCTTCCAAAGTCTCGACTCCATCGTCTCCAGTTGCATAGCGTTCACCAGGAAACACTGTGCACAAAAGGTGTGAAAGAAACGGGTGGCCTGAAACTGGAAGAGCAGAAACGAAACTCGTGACCAGCACAGCTCTCTTCAAGCGTCCTCTGCCATGGTACATGAGTGGCAGGACTGAACCAAGCCTTGAGGGATGCATGGTGTACACTGCATGGTTCGGATCAACAGCACGGTACAATTGCCAGAAACTGGCAAGAGCTTTTTCATGGTCATCTTGATCGACCGTGAAGCCGTTCATCAACAAGGCCCCACCGGTCTTGGCAAAGACCATTGGCAGCCAGCTGGACAGGAAAAGGACTGGCCACGGCACCTGTGTAATCCTGTTCCGAAAGAGGCAAGGGCACAAAACATTGTTCACCACCACATTCAACGACAATCCAAATCTCTGAATAAGTCGGTGGAGGTTCCGGGACCAGTTCGCAGGGTCTTTCCAAGATGCAATCTGCATCAGCATCATGGACTGGCCTTAGTCATGTCAGGGTTGGCCATGCACCTCACATGGAATGTACATAGGTGGCTTTAATAAGGTTCCAACGTGCAAACGGGTGTTGCTGAAAATAACTGGTCAGTCGGCATGCTGAGACACATGACCGGGCACTGTCAGCCTCAGGCCCAGCGGAGGCACTCACTGCAATGAAGTGTAGATCTGATCCAGCATCTCCATTTACTATTCTTTTCCAATGCCCAGCTGCAGCAGCTGTCCCCCACTGGCTGAAACAGTCACAGTAGGGCAAGCATTGGAAACGGTCACACACTTTTAAAACCTTTAGGAAAGGTACAACGAAACTCTGCTCAGGTGTAGATGCAGACTAAGGACACCGGTCTCAAAATGTTCCAAAAGCTCTTCCATGAGCTGCTGTTCGAGGTCATCATTGTTTTCAGGAGCACATGTACCTGGCAGGCCATCTCAACTGCCCAGCACATTGTAGCACATACAAGCACAGTGCTCATCTTCACCTGGCGGTTGGGCTGGAGTCTCTCCATGAGACTCAGAAACAAGATCTATGCCTGCGTGGGTTGAGCACAGGGGTTGCCACTGACTGCAGTGAAAAGTATATGCCAACCCATGCACCTGTCCTCCATGCATGCCTGCAACCCTTCAACATGCATGCTCCAGAGCAGCACAGTTTCTCATGCGTGGAAGCGCGGGGTCACACCATGTTTTGCTCTGCAGGGCAGCGCGTTCACACGGTCTCAATCCCAAGGGCCAGCACGAGCGGCTTCCAAACTTATCATCCAACCCCAGCCAAAACTTTAAAAAGCCAGCAGTCACACCATGGCCAAATGCCATTGCCAAGCCTTCCCTGCATTCAACTCAGGGTTCATTCTCCTCGTCCTTCTTAGCTTTTTTTACTTTCTTCTGCTTCCTGCTGCGGATAAATGTATGAGCATCAAGCCCGGATATGTTGGGAAACATATCTGCACTTCCAAGTGCGCAAATGAGAAAGTAGCCTCTGCGACTCATCATCTCCATCCTCGCTTTTCACCTTTTTGCGCTTCGTCTTTTCTTTGCGGGCTGCTTTCTCTTCTTCAGTCAGAGGTGGCTTCCAGGACCTCGCTTTCAAAATTGGATTGAGACTCCTCCATATCTCCATTGTTGGTTCCTGGCTCTGGACTCGCACGCAATGTCAGTCTGAGTCCAGGCCTGGCTCTGGATGCCCAGTTGTTCATTATGGTGTCGTTCTTTGTGATCTCGATGTACTTCTGCACCAGTTTGTCTTTGTCCTCCCTGCGCATGGGAGCACATGGCCACTCGCATGAATGCCTAGTTACACTACAGGATCCTGACTACACCATGCATGCTTGTATGTGACTGTAGATACAGTCGGGTGGCTTGGTGGGGGCCACTGCAGTGGCAGCTGCTTGCATGTCGATCAACTCTTCGTTCAACTTCCGCAGCTTTGTCAAAGGTTCAGCCATTCCTGCAGAAAGCCTCAGCAACCACTTTTTCAATTGAAGTAACAATTATACTAAATGAGGCGTGGACTCTTGTGCTTTGTGGTCAGAGGCCACATGGGCCTGCAGGCGCTCCTGCGCAAACAGCAATGATGTTGGGCTGCAAATTGCAGTGGCCGACGCTCAGGCCTTTTGGTTCTGGGCGGCGTCGATCTTTTTGCCAAGCAGGAGCAGGAACTGCCCCAATTGCTGAAATGGGGAAGTTGTCTGCGACAGGCATGGAAAAGGAATGCGCTCCACAGGGCCTTTCCTGAGCTGGAGTTTCAAGTCCATGCTTCAAAAGTTGCATGCATGTCCATGCGTGTTATGACAACCCAGTGCAGCCCGTACACGGAAGAGGTGCTACAGCTGGCGCAGGCTGCCTCTCCCCACCTCCACCACCACCGCCTCCGGGTGCACCCTCATTTACGTCCATGGCGTCCAAGATGCTTCCACTCGTATCCTGCAACCAAGACATATGCACATACAATCTGTGGCGGCACTCCTATTCCCAGCCTCGATCTGGGCTGATGCCGTCGCAACCATACTCTGGGACCTCTCATTGAGTTTCTGTCTGACTTGGTCAACTACTAAGTTAGCGTACTCAGCGCCATTGACCACGTTTTTCTCCAGCTTCCCGTGCTGAGCTGCCCAAGCCCAGCCATTCTCAATCATCTGACTCAGTTGCACACAAGTCTATATGCATGACATGCATGGTGTGACATGACGCAAGAACCTCTGAAATCTTCATGCATGCATGCATGCATGCATGCATGTCAAAGTTTTGAGGACAACACTCGTCCCATTTGTAGATTTCTTTCAGCATGAGCTTCGTGACTGGCTTTTCAGTGTCCTGGTCCTTCACACTTTGATTCGACATTCGCTGCACAACTATATCGACCTCTTGGAGCGAACCGGTCTTGAGAAAGGTTTCTTTCATCTTCGCACCTCAGCTACCAGCCAGCCACCAAGCTGATTGCCCATACATTGTGGCGATACCTGTTTAGCAGTACGCGTAGAATTTCTTTGCCAGCTGGAAGCCGATCATTTAAGCCCAGCACGTTGGGTTGTATCCTTCCAAGCGTGGAGAAGCTCGTCCGTGTTGGCTGCCATCACATGCCGACGAATCCTGAAGTGAGGCCAGCAATGGTGCAGTGTGGGGATATTGTATGTGCTGAAAACTGGGCAGTTGATCTGGGCCAGTGGTTGGTGGTCAACTCTGTCGTAGCTTCCTTTCTTCTTCCCTTCCCTGAACATAAACAACAAAGCTTGTATACTATATATGTTCTCAGTCCAAAAAGTATCCCTTACCATGCATGATCATTCCCATAGGCCCATGGGGCCTCAGCTCCAGCAACTTTTGCTCCACGCTCTGGTCCGTAGATTCAGCAGGGGCAAGAGATGGAGCAAGGGCAACCTTTGCTGCAGGTGCTGTGGTAGGACCAGGATTTGCCACTGCACCAGGCCCTGGAGTACCTGTTGACCCCACATTTGCTGCAAGGGCTGTCGGAGGTGATGCAGCCTTTGCTTCAGCAACTGCAGTCAGAGGTGCTGCAGGTACTGCAGCTGCTTTTGGAGGTGCTGTAGGCGGAGCAGGTTTGGCCTGCACAGCTTCAAGGGTCGTTGGGGGTGTTGCAGCCTTTGCTTCAGCAACCACGCAAGCAGTCAGAGGTGCTGCAGGTACTGCAACGGCTGTTGGAGCTGTTGTAGGCGGAGCAGGTTTGGCCTGCACAACTGCAAGGGGTGCTGCAGGCTTTGCTTCCACAACTGCAAGTTTTGCCTGTGGTGCAGCCCTTGTTTGGGTATCTGGTGGGCAAGCTATGGACAAAGCCTTGTTCGGCACCTTTGCGGGCGGCGGCATTGACTTTGGAAGGGGAGTCTGCAAAATTTTTTCAGGTGTTTCCTCCAAGGGTTTCCCAACTGCCTTGTCCCCAGCAGCCTCATGTGCGCCACAGCTCTCATTGCCATGCATTTGCTCATGCAAGCTCAGAAGCTCTGCAGCGAGCTGCTCCTTTGTCAGCTGGCCCGGGGGGCCCAAAGCCAAAATGGCGTGGTGCAGAGCAGATGCTGAAGTCTCCTTCTTCTCCTTGTTGGCTTTCAAGAGGTCACGGACACGGGTAGAAGGAGTGGGAGCCGGCTTCTCAGCTACAGCCGGCACAGCGTGGCCAAGGCCATGGTTCTCGCAGTTTCCTGGGTCAGGGCTATCCAGCTGAGTCTCAGCAACAGGGGTTTCTGTCGCACCACCAAACTCTGGCTCCAAAACTCGAACGACTGGAGGTGACATAGGAGTGGGTGGCGGCGGGGAAGCAAGGTCCCCTGGAATGGTTTCCCCTGGAGTTTCCACATCACCGGCAGGAGTGGCCACATCATGTCCTGGCTCAAGGATATCTAATAATCATATATGTATTGTCAGAAGAACAATGTAGGTTCACTAACAACAGTCATCCTTGCACCAAGGAATTACTTAATTACTCAGGCATGCATGTGAGTCCTTTCATTCCTAAAGCACACTGAGCAGGTGTAGGACTCGCAGCATGCATGGCAACGTCAGGAGCACTGACTTCGATGGCTGGCACAGTAGCCTTGCAATCACCATGCATGGAATCTAAAAACGCATTTGCGCACGTAGTGAAGGTACACGCATGAAATGTGGATGGCATACATCCCAGCACATGGTTCCCATCCTGATCTGCTGGAGATGCTGGCAGCACCTCCCATGGAGGGACTGTCATTCATGCTGTCAAACATGCATGTCAGCAAATCAGAAGTTGATCAGTTCTCCACTCACAGACAGCCTGCGGTAGGCCAGCTCTCCCCAGTGACACCTGCGAACTTCCGAAATCAAATATTCTTACATGCATATCAGTAAAACATGCAGTATCGCCCTCCGCCTGCACACTACCGGGTGCATGTTCACCACCCCCATCAGAACTTGCGTAGAACCTATCACCTTGGTCCAACAGATCATATATCTAATTCCCTTTAATGGGGGATGCTGAGTCAGATGCAAACCATGCATGTCCAAGAATACTTTTGATCATGTAGCAAACACTCAGCTCCTCACCAGGAACAGCTTCTGCTAGAAAAGTGTTCTCCACACGCGTGCTTGGTTCACTCAACAGGTTTGCCTTAAGCTCCCTGATGCGTGCCAAGCGCTCCTGAAAAAGGGCAGCAAAACTCATTCAGAGAGATTCAGCCTTCCATATGGCCATAATCAGTCCTCTATCTCAGCGTCCAATGTTGCATCAGACTTGTCTGTATCCATGCGAAGCATGGCAGTGCCGGCAAGAAGAGTCTCGCGACTCATACACTAAGGGCAATGCCCAAAAAACACACACGAACAAAAGGGCTAAAAACCAAAAGTGCTGCAGCACCATGAATCATGAATGTCATCCGTTTCCATGCATGGAGTTCATGATGGTTCATGCATGCAGCTCATGCATGATGATCACCATATATATATATATCATGAATGCAATGTTGGACTGTCTGTGATCCAACCCACATGCATGCAAAACCAAGCTGTCAAAGGAAGTCAAAAAGTCTCAATAACAAGACATCCAATTGAGCAAGTTTTTTTTTTGCGCCCGTTTCGCGGAATTTTGCGCCCGTTTCGCGCGACCACTGCTGCACACTTTTTTCGTTTTCGCGCACAAAAGTTGCAAGCTTGCAACATCCAGGAACTCCAAGGCATGATGTTTCTAATTACCGACAAACCATCGAATTGTAAGCCTCCACCAGCGAAGGATCTGCACAAGTTTGCATCAGTTCATCCCGGAAAGCCTTCATGGTTGTTTGCCACGAGTCAGGCACTTTCGTTCGGGGATGATCCAGCATATATGTAAAAACATTTATCATGTCAGCATCAACCCAAGGGTCTTTCATGTCGAGTCTAGTGAACAGTTCCTTGTCGGAGAACTTGGCATTGGCCTCATGCTTCTTCCTGCAGCTGACAGCGTGATTGGAAAATCCACCAAATCATTCAAAACAGGGGTTCCCCAAATCAACAAGCTCCTGAGACAGAACTCTGGTGCATCCTCTTCTTTCCAAAGGTCAAGGAGCTTACCGCCAAACTTCCGAGTATATACCCTCAATCAAGGTTCATGCACATCCAGCCGAGACATCAACATACTTTCACTTCACATGAATGATGATTTACACTCTGCGATCGAGACGCCCAGTTTCTTTCAGGCGTTTTGACCCATTCCATTTCTTGCCATCCCGGCCTCATGCTTGAGCTATCATGAAGATGACGCATGGCAAAAAAAATCTTTGCGCATGTACATGTACAAAATATTCATGCATGAACTTTTCTTCCAACACAATTGCTTGGGACCACACGTGTGCTTTGAAACTGCGTCTTTTCTCTCATCACAGCAGCTGGGATAGAGCCCAGATCCAGCCCCCTTACTCCCTTCCAATTTGACCTTGCTTGTTGACGCTTTGGCGTGGGGTGGTCATAGTGCATCATCCACCAAGTAGCTGCATAGACCTGACAGAGCTTCTTCGTTTTTAGATTACGCGGGGTCCATATATGAATATGAGTGGACTGCACATGCATGCATGATAACTCTGACAAGCAACGTAACATATCTTTTCCTGGAACCACTGCCACCTGAAGTTCCCAAACAGGTGCGTTTGCCGAGGCTGTTCCACCACGTAAATGCCATGGGCTGCCACCACGACAATGCACAAAAGAACCAGCCTAAGTTCGTCGAAACATTCATGTATGGCTGGATTGATCCATCATCAAAGTTAAAAGATTCAACCATCTTCAGAAGTTACAAAACTGCAATCAGGCCACCTGCTGGCCAGCAAATTACCAACCAATACATTCGGTCGGCTGGTGAAGCCCATCGAATTGTTTAACAGCGACCTCAAAGTGGTCCCCAAGTTTGGGGCGCCAAAGCTAGCACAGTCTGGGGCGATCAAAGCCATGGCTCCTGGAGCCAACATCAAGCAGGAGAACAGAGCCAACCTCGGAGATCATCCATGTAAACCTTCCATCATTAAGCAACAGACCAGCACTGGGGTTCAGGCACAAATCCTGGCGAGGATGTGAAGTCCATAGCCGCAGCTTTCCCGCGACTTTGCCCGTAGAGGATGTCATAAGAGGCAACATTGAAGCCTCTGCTCTTCCTTGTATCATGCATGGTCATATCAAAACCAATACATGCATCGAAAAAACTATATCAGCATATCATTGCCCACATGAAACACACCCAGTGAGGAGGAGACCATTCTCGGCTGACATTGGCGCGGCCACTAAAGATCTCCACAAATTGGAATTCTGCCTGGTGCCATGCCAGGTCTTCATTCCAAAGCATACAAAGTACCTCAGGTGCACAGGCAATTTCCAAAATCATTTTAAGAGTTGACTTGACTATGACATCCCACACATGGCAACATCCATTGAGACAATGGCCACTCCAATCAGCACCTGCGAAAATTGTGCATGAAAGAAACCCACACGGATGCATGAGTGAATTTTATCATGCGTGAGCGGGTATTGCATATGTGACATGTCAACAATTACCATGCATGCATGTATCCATGTTAAGGGCAGCTAGCCGTGGCCTTCGGAGCACCACAGTGCATGAGGGAGGTCACTGCGGATCCACGTTCCCAAAAGGGCATGGCTCTAGCCGTGGGGCCACCGGTTGAATGCTGGATTTCAAACTGCAAGTTCTACGTGCATATAGCACTTCCACCAAACCAGCAACTGCATGCATGTATGCATGAATGCATGCGTGGGCATTACTGCAGTATCCACTGAAGATGAACCTGTGTCAACAAGTGCGAGTGGCAACAACATTGCAAGGCAAAGGGGGCAAACCGACCTTCCGCCATAGCATCCACTAGCCAGCTCATGATGGCATACCTGATGGAAAATTAAACTCCATAATCATCATGCATGCAATTGATCCATGAATAGCTTGTATCAAACGAAAACAATCTAGTGCTACACATAAGCAATGCAACATGCATGAATAAGGCTAAGATCGATTTTGCCACTTCCTGTATGCTCCACTCAGCACTTGGCAGACACAGAGGCCACACCTAGAGTTTGTATATACAAGGGCCTCAAGCATGGCCCCACTCACGCTTTTTCCATTCCTTCTGGCCTGCATGAATGAAGTTTACAGCTACATTTCAAACACAACTTTCAATCAAATCTGACAATTTCAATCCGGCCTTCGGTCTTCACTGGCGGTGGAGGCCGAGGTGGCCACCAAGGCTTTGGTAGCTGGGCTGGTTTCGGTGGAGGGGCCGGGGGAACTCTCTTTGGCGTGTGCAAAGGTCGTGCTTTGTGAGGAACCTTCCCCCATGGTTCGAAAAGGTCAGATCCAACAGTGTTGGACTTCTTTGGTGGTGGTCCTGGAGGTGGCTTGGGACCATGGGTGAAAACAGTCTTTGGCGGCACTGACCCCTGGTCTTTCGGCGCGGCCTTGGGGAATGACTGCATCACTTGAACCTGTTTCTTGGAGGTGGGCTCAATCTCGACAAAGGGCACAGGCTTGCGCCATGCTGCCTCCGCACTTGATGATGGACCTTCGCCATCAAGATTTGGTGGCCTGCATGGATGCATGCATGTCGTAAACAATACCCCCACAAATCCCTACCATCGTGAACTGAGACCCTACATGAAAGATATGGTCAAGATGCATGAGCTGCATGAATGCCTGTCTTCCAACAGAAGTTGGAAAGTCATCCGGCTACCACACGATTCCTGCAACTATATATGATTCATGCATGCCATGAAGTAGATTTCATGCATGATCATGAATGAAGTCAGCATTATCAAGTCTGTCTCTGGAGGCAGTCTGTGAATCCCCATCCTGAAGAGGGATGGACTTCGCCAAATCATGCATCACCGACGCAAGGTTTGGATCCTTCCAACAGATGATTGAGCCATCGATCATCTAAATTGAAATCGACATGTTGCCACAACTTAAACATTTTCTCCTGGGACATTTCTGCAATAACCTGGTCTTCAACCTGGCTTCAACAGGCAGCAACGGGCAATGTCATAGGTGCGCGCACTCCCGCATGCATGGAAGCTAAGGTGGACACTCCAAGTCTTCTCAGGACAGCTTCCCAGTTTTCTGGGTCATCCTGAACAGAGGCAAAAGGAAAACTATATATATATGTATATGTACTATTTTGTTTCATATCAAGTGCATACATGCTGAGGTCTTGGCCGGTGAAAGGTGTATAGGTGGAGCTATGGCCGCCCTTGCCGCTGCTTCCTGCATGGTGTTTCTTTGCAAAACTATCCAGCAAACACTACGTTGTACTCCATTGCACATTGGCCCCCCACCTGATCAATCTCTATTCTACATTTTTTCCGGGGCGCCGCCATGATTCTTAGAAATCTGCGGGGATCTCGCAGCAGTTCGCATCATGCATGCCACAAGAGTAAAGTTGCACAAGTACAAGTACTCATCGATCATTAACAAAACTGACTGAAGCTGAGAACCCCAGGGCACAAAGCTCAAGGCAATGTCCGAGTCAAGGAGCCATGTACCTTCAACAATGCTATGCCCACCAAAAATCCATATGCATGTAAAATTTTGAGCCACCATCCTACTCATGCATGAAAAATAAGGCCATGCATTGCAACG